AAACTTGAATTTAAATACAAAAGGATTTATCAGTAAATTGCCAGACTCCTTAAATTCAGAAAGGAAGCTCTGAGCTACACTTTATGTACATTTCCTCTGCTATTTATGATCAAAATAAGTTTCCTGCTTTAAAATCACATTTCTGATCATTTCAATCATTGTGAAGAAAAGAGGAGCATCACCGATTCTACATTTCAGAGGCGTTTACCTGGAGAACAGAAGCTGCACCATGTCCACCAGTGTGTGTTCTGCAGATTTCCTCAGGAGCTCTACAGAAAAAAATTTTAATCACAATGTGAAAAATAAAGAAAAACATAAAATAATAAGAATCAGCTTTCTTTCCCTCACTGCAGTTAAACATAGAAGCTAGCATGTAGCACGTAGCAGCATCTGGGGCGTATTCAGGCTCTTGCTCAGGAGCCAAAGCGACAGCCTGTGGTTTAAACCGGCAACCTGTAAGTACCCTGATCTCTAACCACCTGACCATCAATGAGCCTTAGATTTACTGTAATCCTGCAGAAACATCATTATTTAGACACCTTTAATAAATCTCATATAATCTGGAATATTCCCTTCTACGTTTGTTGTAGATTAGAAGAAACAGAACCTAGAAGCACGACTGTCAGTTCTTCTGAAGTCCTTCTGATTTCACTGAAGTCGAATATTAGATCCCATCCCTACAACATTATTCCAGGATCCCATGGAAGTAAAACAGTGTCGCTGGAATCTGCCTGTTTTGTACACCGTATTTTAAACATTGCATTTTTACACACTGAATACCTTACACTGAATTTTTACCTGGAAAAAATGTGACTGCAAAAAATTCCGCTGCAAAAAAATTTGCCTGCATTTGACTGCAAATGTGTTGACCTGTTGATAAAGCAACCTACACTCTATACAGTCGAGCAGCTTCTAGCCAATGAAATTAGCGCATTTGGTCACGTGACGCAACAGTTGGGCATAGCTTTGTTCCTGGCTGAATGAAGCTGAATGAGGAGTTTTTCTTGTTAAATAGATATGATTACAAAAAATATGGTAGCTATTCATAGACAGGCATTAGAGTTTTTCATTTAATCGGACTGGGTGATATAACTGAGCTGATCACAGCTAGGTCGGCACCCCTGCCTGCCAAGGCTCTTGGTTTGATCTGAAAGAAGGGGCCAGTGGCAAACTTTTTTTTCTTTCTGACCAAATGAGCTTATTTCATAGAAGCTGCTTGATTGCATGGAGTGTAGACTGCTTTGGCTTGAATTCACCAGAAGGTTAACACATTTGCAGTCCATTTTTTTGCAGTTAAATCTTTTGCAGGGAAAATTTTTGGCAGGCGAATTTTCACCAGATAAAAATTCAGTGTAAGGCATTCAATGAGTAACAAAATTCAGCATTTAAAATAAAGTTTTAAAAAAATTCACAGTTTAAAATTCGGTGTACAAAAAAAGGCAGATTCCAAGGAGACTCTTTTTCTTCCTGCCTTCGCTCTAGAGCTATTGGTGGTGACTTTTAATTACTAATTATCTAATTTTATTTTAAGTTCTTAAAAGAAAATGGCTGCTAATAAACTTTATTCTAATTCACAGTGATGACTTCCTGGAGAGTTGAATATAATCTCATGTGTTCAGATGAAGGACCAGTGTTCATCCGATGGGTGTTAATCATATCGTTTATGGTTATAAATGGTTTCTTTGGATTTATTAACTCAGCACAAAATAAAGATTCATTCTAAAACTGGAACAAAATGATGTTTGTTCAACATTTATACCATACAGGTAGAAAAGATTGACCTAAAAACGCTGTCTGTGTCTGTTAGAAAAATGTTAATGTCATTTTATTTGTATTAACTTGCAGGCATTTGGCCTGCTAGGAATTTTCTGATGGTTTTAACTTCTAACGGGGAGAAAAAATGGTTTTCCCAGAAAAGGAAAAGTAATGCTCTGTCCAGCCTGTAATTAAACCTTTCCTTAATGAACCGTCTCTTGACCCAGATGAATTGGTGAATTATAGACCTACATGGCCTAGTAAACTAGCCCCACCCACCAGAGGCCAAAATCATTTTTGCCTGCGAGTTGGTCTAGCCTCGATCAATGCCTCAGGTCCTAGAACTGGCGGGCCAATCACAACGCAGAAATGTGTTTTGAATGTCTGGATGCAAAGTGGGCGGGGTTTTGAGAGCGGGACGACAAAGCTGCGCGACGCTGGAGAAAGCACAACAAGGAAGATGGCAACACACTTTTTAACAGTTCTTGTTTGACTCAGCTTTGGATTCAGTTTAGGAAGGATTAGACTTGGGGTTTTTCATTGAAACGTAAGCAGGAAGAGAAAGAGTTAAAAGGGAGTTTTTCCTCTCCACTGTCGCTACAAGCATGCTTAGTGCGAGGGATTGTCTTCGAGCCAATGAGTCGATGCAATCAACTGGTTTTCCTTAGATAGAAAACTTTGAATCAATCTTACTGGATGATCTGGTTAAACTGGAAAGTGCCTTAAGAGGACGTGTGTTGTGAATTGGTGCTATGGAAATAAACTGAATTGAATTAAACACCACCATCAGCCAGTCATTTAAATTTTTAACTTTGTTTGGTTCACTTCTTTTCAGTCTCTGCGTTTTCTCAGGGAGATCCATATTGTCACTTCAAAGGCCACAGAAATAAATCTGGTTTATGTCCAAACTTTGACTAAAACACAGCAATGGTCACCAACTGAAGGACATGAACATTAGCCTGGGTCAGCTGGAGGAAAACGTACCACTGAGGCGCATCTCAAAGCAGATTCTGAAGCACGACTGCATGATTTCACACACAGACTCATTGGTCAGATGAGCTCCAACTGGCGTCAGCAGCAGAGTCCGAAGAACCTGGGGAAGACAAACCGAGAAGATCGCAGCTGCTTTAGGGTGGCCGTGCACGACTCAGAGCCATTACTGAGCTCTGATGCTGACAGACAGCATCGGAAGGAGGACGACGACACAAAAACTCAGAAGAATGATACTTTATCAGGAGAAACTGATAATAAAGGAAGCACAAATAAATGAGACCTGCGATAAAAACACAGAGGGACAGAACAATGCCAAGCAGGGTGCATCCTAACAGGGGTGGGTGGGACCTAGGTAAAGCAAAACGCTGGATTGGATGAGCATCTCCAAATTTTAAAGCTTATATTGAGCTAGGGCTGAAAGATTCTGCCTGGAAACAAAAATAGTGATTTTAAATAGAGCTCAAACAATTCATCGGTCTAATTAATCAATTAATTTAGTACTTGATTAATCATTAGCTGGAGTATAGGGACTGTAAAACATGCCTTTAGCTGACAGAGCGACCCACACAAGATTGTAAAAAATATATAAACATTTCGCATTTTAAGTTAAAAACTTCTTAGTCTGTCTATCTGTTCTATCCAGAAATCTTCATGTGGAAAAGTTTTAGTTCCACCTGGTTTGATTTAGTAAAAAGACTTCTTTAAACAATCTTTCGCTGTCTGATTATTAACGGATAAATTGAAAATATAATTGACAGATTAATCAATTTCCAGGATAATTTTTAGTTGCAGGTCTATATACATTTTAAACTACTGTAATATGGCGATTATATTTCCATTTTCCTTTGCAATAACCACAATCATATAAATGTTTTACTACAGATTTTAGGATTTTTCATGACCTTGGAAGCGTGGCTTTCCACAGTCCATGTTTGTAGAACTTAACTGTAACCTTTCTGTGAAAAAAGGTCTAACTTCTATCTGCAGGCATGAACCTGCGGGCTAGCTGCAGCTGCATCCGTCTCTTCCCACCTTAAAGGAAAAGTCTGCTCATATTCAGAATTCAAACTTCTGAAAGTACTTTAAATATGAAATTATTCACTACCTTTCAATAAATGATAAGTGTTCTTATTCAGAGTAATTTTCATTTGAATGT